TGGTGGTTTTGTCAATTAATTACTGATCATTTCCCCTGAAGATTTCACCATCACACTCCTTATCTTCTTTTAATACTGCTATATGTACTATGTTAATATTACAATTACAACTTTTAATAACATATTTATGTTCTTGCTCAACCAATTTTTCAATTGTCTCTCCTGCCTTCTATTTTTTTTTTAGCAGTCTTCATCTTTCCTTCACCTTTCCTGCCAATTTTCACTGCCATGTTCCACACTTGGTGAACTGTTCTTTCACACAATGTTAATACATGAATCTGTTTTGCAATTCCAGTCAAATCTTACAATATCTCAAGGTTGAAAATAAAGACCATGATCACATAAACATTATTCGCTGCTGGCCAAAATGTATACAAGGATTCAATTAACTTTTCTAGTGTTCCAATGTCAGGACCCCTGAACTATGCGAGGAAAATGTTGTTAGCATTCTTTTTTTTTTTTTTAGCCACACTCTCCTGACTATTTAAAATCATGCCACATTTTAATTTACTTCATCTTTGGGACATGATTTACTTGTTTAGTTTTTCCCCAGGTGTTTTTAATTGATTGTTTGTTTCTTATACTATTTGCCCTTTCAATTTTTTCTTTCAATTTATGTCATCATTTCCCATGGTTCTCATAGTGTGACATGCAATGCCCTGTGGTTCTCCAAGACCCTTTTGGGGACTGAGGGCTAACAATATTTTCATAATAACACTAAGACATTAGTTGCTTTTAACCCTACGTGCAACAGCTATCTATAGTGGGTAAAAATTCCTGTAGCCAATGTCATTAGGAGTCAGAGAACTCTACATCACTACACTCTGGCAACACAAAACAAAAAGGATAAATAATTAGGTCTTAAAATGTCTTTGTTCAAGCAGTGAAAATGTTATTTTTATTATGCAATTAAAGGGTGTATTTTGTATACCTTGAAAATGTTTATATTTATTGAGACTAGTTTTATGATCTAGTGATGATCTAGCTAAATATTCCCTGCATACCAGAACAAAATAAGTATATTCTGCTATTTGTGGAGGGTTATAGAAATACCAAAAAATTAAGTCTTTACCAATTTTTACCTGAGCAATATATTTGTAAGAATGTAAAATTGATTTATCTGACTATAATTGTGAATGTCTTTATTTTCCTATAGTTCCACAGGATTTTTCATTCATGTAATAGAGTTGTTATCAAGTGCAAATATTTGGAGCTGCTATGTCATCTTACTGTATTGTCTCATCTTTATGAAACTGATTTCTTTAGTTGATATTTTTGATCTATCTGAAATTCAATTTGTCTAATAATACAGTCAACCCAGCTTTTTTTTTTGGGGGGGGGGGTGTTAGCACTGGGCATTTCTTTATATCCATTTGCTTTTAATCTATACATTTTTGTTCCTAAATTGTGTCTCCTGGAATTATCATATAGGTGTGATTTACCTTTATATTCAATTATACCTTTATATTCAATTACACAAATGTTTTCTGATAATTGTATACACATAACATTCACATTTAATTTAGCTACTAATATGGTAAGATTTAAATCTATCTTTTGCTGTATGTTCTTTGCATGGTCCACCCATTCCTAGAGATTTTTTTCTCTTTTTCTTATTCTATATTGCTAGAGTATTCTTACTATAACAGGATGTAAAAGTCATTTTACCTAATCATAGTTTTAGAGACATTATTAACAGACATTATTGATATTATCCTCTAAGGTAAATTTGGCATTCACCTTAACCTACCTGGAAAAATGTCCATTGGTTTGATGTCTAAATTAGAGTTAAAGGTCTATCATACTGTCTTATCAAAAAGGACACATGGATTACATTAACATAGTTATGTTCCTCAATGAATGCTCATGTTGCTTTGGGGGACTAGGATTTTCCTCTCAAAACTTGTAAAGACTTAATACAGTTAGTTTGGTAAGATTATTTAAAAGGTGAAAGCCCAAGAAAGTTAAAAAGGCATAATAACTAATAATAATGTAATAATAATAGTGATTTATTTAAAGCCCTCATTTGTATCCTGCAGCATGGTTAAGTTTCTTTCAAATAGTAAGTATTTATGAATAAATATTTAAAAAAGCTACATTTCTTTCAAAAGAGAAAATTTTTCTGTTGTATTTCATCTTAATTTTTTTCTGACTTCAAGGTTATCATTCAAGTAGAAAACATTGAACCCCAACATATAAATTATGAATATATTTGGACTAAAAACATTAAACTCTCCTCTTCTCCGACAATAATTTCCAAAGATTTTGTGGAATCAGGACATAAAAATATATAAGTAACAGTAAAATATAATAGTCATATCATTAAACAAAGCAGAAATTTCAAAAAGAAGGTCCTAAAGATAGTGAAACCAAAATCTGCTGGTTATTTAAACATAAATAAAATAGACATAGTTCTAGATAGGCTCACAAAAAAGAAAATGCTAATGGAGTAAAAAATAAAGGAGATTAGTAACAACAGACATCTTAGAAATCCAGGGGCTCATGAGAGATTACTATGAACACCCATATGCCAACAGCCTGCATAACTTAGAAAAAATGTACAAATTCTTGGAAGAATTCTTTCAAGACTGAATAAATGAAAAATGGGAAAAGACCCATCACAAGCAAGGAAATGAAAGAATAATCAGAAGCCTTCTAAAGAACAAAAATTGGCAACCAAATAATTTCATTTGTGAATTCACCTAAACCTCCTAGATGAATTAACACCATTCTCAAGCTCTTCCACAATAAATAGTGAAGGAAGTGGAAGCACTTCCAAACAGGTTCATGAGGCCAATATTACTCTGATCCAAAAGCAGACAAAGTATCACCAAAAAAAAAAAACCATAAACCTAGTCCTAGTGTGTGTACACACACACATACATATGCTAAAATCCTAAACAAAATCTCGCAAAATGAATTCAACACCCAAAAATAGATTGATATAACCAACCACATCAACAAATGGAAAGATAAAAATTATATGATCAATAGAGAAACATTTGCTAAAATTCAACAGCCATTTATGATAAAAACCCTCAAGAGATGGGGATAGAAAGATCATAGCTAAACATAAGGCCATTTATGACAAACCCACAGCTAATATCATATTAGCTGAGTGAAAACGAAAAGCCTTTCCTTTAAGTTTAAATGCAAAGATGTCTACTTTCACCACTATTTTTTAACACAATATTGGAAGTTGCTAAATTGCCACACTCTAATTGGATTAAGGTTATGTGCTCTTACTCAAAAGAAATCTTAAAGCTTTTCATAATAATTGATCACTGCAGGTAATCACAGCAAAGATGAGTCAAAGAGGAGTTAACTAAACCACCATCAATTTGAATAGGAAGGCAGGGAAGGAGCAGAAGGAAGATGCAATTTTGATTCAATTTAATGAGAACATTTAGGAGGATGGTAGTGGTATAAATTGAGCAGGCCATAACACAGAAGTAGTTGTAGAAAATGAAAGAACTAATAAGTTTGGATGGGGATTTATTACACTTTGAAGTATCTGTGGATTTGTTCCAGGTGGAGATGTGTCCTATTACAGGAAAAGTGTCTAGGCAAACAATATTTTTTATATGTCTGGACCTGACTCTTTGCATTTGCCATCACTAGGCAATCTGAAAATACATGATGTGAACGCCACCTGTTTAAGTTCATCAGAAATAGCTATGTGGTGAAAGTCTAAAATGTACAAATTGTCTTATCCGCAATGAACTCTTCTTAGTGCTTAAAGGAAACGCCAATTTTAAAAAGCAAACGGAAGTATTATTTTACCTATTAAAGTAGCATTCATAAAACTCACAGGTGATTTTTTTTAAGTTTATATTTCAGTATGGTTTTCTGGTTCAGTTAGAAATTTGACGCTATAGAAATACCAGTATGTGCTGAAAACATACTCTTCTCAGTTTGCTCCTTTAAAGAAGACATTCCTATCTCAACCTTAGATTATGTATAATATTTTAATAATACCTGAAAATGGTATAAATTAAAACAATGACTTTCAAGTTTGTTCATAAGCCTTATCTGATATTTGAGTGCACTAAAATATGTTATTTTCTTCCTTTTTCTATCTACATATTGATATAAAAATCCCTTTCCACAGAATTTTAATTCTTTCCATTGACAAAAATGGTTTATAACTCAACCCTGGATCATATAAGGAAACAAAGACAGAAGTCATTTATTTAGAAACAAGATCTAAAATAAAGCATGCCTTTTATTTTCCATATAAACATAACATGCAGTGATGTTATTTTTTTATAATAAAGAGTGACAGGGCTCTAAACATAGTACCTGTATTAATATATGTAAATAAACAAACAGGGGTTACAACATTTCATTAGGGAAATAGTTTACACCTGGGTTTCCCTTTATAAAAAAAAAAATGGTCACATGGTTAATTTGGGCAATTAAAAAAATTATTTGTGCATACAAGAACTGGGGTGTAGGACAGATATGTAGGGGTGAAAGGATTCACGAGAGACAGAGTGGGGAGCAGAAAAAACCTATCTACTGAAATACACTGCTGAGAGAAGCAGCCAGGAGACAGAGGAGGTCTGCTGGATCTTGTGACCACCTCCCTGCTGCAGTGGCTGGCAATAGCTTCATAATACCACAGCATTTTTTTTTTAAATACTCTCAGCATTTTTTTTTTAATTGAACTATGTCAGTTTTCAGAAAAAAAATGATTTAAAAAGATAAGAGCCAACCACGTGTTCCAGAATATCAGATCGGTTACTCAGCTTTCCATTCATTCTGTGTTCCCTCCTCAGAGCTTCCTAGCACAGTCTAAGATCCCAAACCTGGCAGGGGTGTCCGGTGCCAAGACTCCAGAACAAAATACAGCTACGTAAACACTAGCAGGGTAGAGGGTTCAAGCAAAAGGAGTGAAAAACAAGCCAACAAAGGAGGAAAACTTTGGCGTGTGAGTTACCATAAAAATTTAGCAGCAGAACAAAGACACAAACAAAGATTTAGAAATAAGAACATACCTGTGGGAAAAGCAGAACTGACTGCAAGGCTCGGTGTTCTGAGAGTGGCCTGAAGAGAAACTAGGAGAGAAGTAACCGGTTCCACGCAGATTTCCCTTAAGCTATCCGCTTTAAAGCCTCCAGCATTTTCACAGCATTGTTAGCCACAAAGCAATCTTACCGTAAGGCAAAACTGCCGTAAAAAGTAACAACGACAAATAAAGATAAAGCATTAATTTAAAAGGTCATAATGAAGCACTTTTTCTTTCCCTAATTTTTATCCCTTTAGTAAGAGAAGCGTCAGTTTACAGGTACTAGAACGTGCATTTATTAGTGAGCTTCTACACTTGTCTGATGGATGAGAGAAGCTGCTGTTTCTTACGGTACAGGCAAGGAGCATACCTGGAAATATATATCTGGGCTACATTCATGTGTTCCAGTACAACCCAGCCCTTGTCTTTCACCAAGTCACCTATGGCAGATCTGTTAGAAATACCAAAATTCTGTCTACATCATGTTCTCCACTATAGGAGAACATGTCGGACATGATTGTCACAATTTTTGAAACATGAAACCATCTCTTTTGGTGTTGTAGAAGGAGCTCCATTCATCTTTTGTCTGTGATTGCTAATAATGTGTGACAAATCTGGGAAAGACCACTTTAGAAAACAAACTTGTTATTCAAATTAGGTAAAGAACTGGTAAAAAGACGTGAATTACTAGTCACCTGTTCCATATTTGTCGAGCTTGGTAAACTTTAGGTTTTGGCAGGTGGGAAGCATGACTGACTGTTCATTGAAGGATCTGCGAGCTGACATGTTATTTTGTAGTATGGTATGCAATCTGCCTTTAGCACTATTTAATGTCACACTTTTATAACATTTTGTCTTATTTACTATCAAATTAATCTATGCAGTTATCATTAGCTATTTAAAGATTACTATATCTATTCTTCTCTGTAAACCAAAATTGAAATCAAACTGTTAACCAA